AGAAATTCTCAGCGTATCTGTCTGTAGTAAGCTTGCACAACTTTGACACTTTCCACCGAGGTCGGTCGCATAGAAGAGGTATCGGAAATTTACGATAAAAATACCAAACTATTTCGAAACGTCAGACCCACGATCCCACACGTTTAACGTTGACGCCTAACCACTGACTGCCACCGCCATATATATATTATCATCGCCATTTCGAGTCGACGTCATTTCTATCTAGGACGGTTGTGGTACGGTCATGGAGACCGCGTCAACTTTTCGTAAAATACACTTAAGCGAAAAATATTTTATCTTCGATATATATAATATTTTATCAATCGAATGTAGTCCGAGCTATGATGATATAATATCGGTTATACCGATATATATATATATATTTATATGTTACCGGCAAAGAGTTGAATACGACATTATATGTGTATAGAAGTCCTAGGTGTTCTATAGAATGCCAAAAATGTGCGAGAAAAGTTTAAGATATATAAAGTAACTAAATATTCTATAGATTACCTAACCTAGAGCAGGAAAAGTATATAATTTATTTACAATTTATTTCGCATTAGTACCTTTCAATACTATACACCATATAGTAATTAAACCGTTTATATCTTATTATTTCATGATAAATGAAATATGTTCGCAGGTGTTGATGGGTATTACAGATTAGGGGCTGAAGAAGAAGGGCTTAAATATCTTTCTATTAGAGGTCTCAATTCGCCAAAAAAATTTAATCTCAATATGACAAAATAATTTTAATACAAATTGACCAAGTTCCAAGAGAACATACATTTGCTTTGTCACAATTGCAACTCAACAATCTACATGAACTGCAAAAGGTTTTGTAAAATGCACATGCAAAACAAGATGTCAATCCAAGACATGTTCGTGTGTAAAGAATAATATTTTATGCAGTTCGAAATGCCCTACATCAACTATGCGATACGCTGCAATAAATAAATAATGATAAACATATTTCGATTTAACATATTACCTAACATTGGCATTCTATAAATTGTCTAGGCTTAATATAAAGTAACATTGAATTTTAATACATTACCAAAGAGTTCGAGGAATTCTATAGAATGCCTGTATTGAACACGGTGCCGGTAACATATATATATATATATATATTATATATCCGTGATTTGTTCCGATTTTATAATCACGATAAAACCAATAAGTGTATGGCGATGATAATATAGATAATTATTTTTAATGGCTCTCAGAGTAAATTATATTACAGAAATAAGGCCTAAAAGAAACAATACATTTCAATGTATTTACGTTATTTTTAGAAAGTAGTTTTATAATATTATGGCAGGTAAATGAAATGTAAATGCTACTAATCCAACTTCGTCGATGGAGAATAAATAAACACAAAACACTCAGTGTAAATCAACAAGGGTCTTATGAAAATAAGTGTTAGTTTTTGCTATATCTACGTTGAATATTATTAATGGCTGTTTAAATATACAGGTACTATTGCAAGGATTATTAATATTAGAATTTAAAAACTCATTAACTCATGACCTGTAATTAGAACACAACATGTAGATAAGAAAAAACTAATTTATGGTTGGTAATTTAAAATATGATTATGGGACATTTGTTTTTATCCATTTTTGAGACAATGTTTTTACTAAAATATTAATTACAGGGAAATGCATCACAATAAAAATCAAAATTCTATCTAGTATTTTATTTTTGCAAAGTCACCAAGTACATTGTTTAGGACTGATGACATGCAAGTAATATTTATTCTTTGATGATTTATATTTTATACAAATATTACTTGTTTGCATTGTTTTATATGGTTTTGTAACTAATGTCTTTTTGATTTAAAAATAAAATAATTGATTTATTTTAATTTTATAAACTGATGTAAAACAAACCATACCATAAAGTACACACAATTACATAAAACAAAATAAATTAAATGTAAAAATACATTTAAAAAAACTTGTATTTGTGTAATGTAAATATAATATAAATGTTTAAATACAAGTAATTTAGGTATTTAGTTTTAGTTAAACTTTTTTAAAATAATTTATAATTCTTGAGAAATAAGATCAAATGAAAAAGTTAATTCCAAATCATACTACTGTTTATTAAAAAAAAAACATTTAAATCTTTGAAGAATTCATTATAAAATACTTATATATATAAATATTATTTTAATCTTTATAAGAAGTCAAACAGTATTTTTTTAATGAACAGTTATTAAAATAGGGAAAAGTAGGTAACCACTCTATGATACTAATGATGTTTAGAGTACCTCACTTCCTCGTCATTGAGTTAGTCACTGTAATGGATGTGTTAAATTTGAATTAAATAATAAATCATTGAATAAAATGAAAAACGATTCTGAACGAATATGTCTGTCAGCCGATATTATTATAAGTATATTTTATGATATATTTATTTTTCTAATATCGAAATTTATTTTACAACTAATTATAAAAATGCATTTATTATTTGATTAGTATTATGCAATTTTTAAAATATTATATTATTATTGTTATATATTTTTTAGTCAATATATCGACTTACAATTGAGATTTGTGATTTACATAGGAAATAGTTTAATATTAATAAAATATTTTGAAAATGTTAATGTGTATGTAAAACATAACAATATGCATATACAAGTTTTCAAGTACCTACGAATTATATTTTTGAATTACAACAAAATCACTAAATTCGTTTAAATATCTGATTTCGTGCTAATTTGAACTTAAAATATCTATAAAAAAAAACTTTTTTTATAGCATATACTTTTCGTATTTTTGGTTACAGTACGAACTACGTATAAGAAGCATTGTTTTAAATTTTCAATCCAGAGCTATAAAAGTTTAATATTTTATACATTTTTAATTATAAAATGATTTGCGAATTTCCACAATTTTAACGAACGTTATCAAAATGTCAACTTCAAACGCTTTGAAAAAAAAATCGAAAAAATGTATCTTTAATAAATTTAAATGGCTATTGTAATGTTTTTTCCCGGTTATTTTGAAAAATACACACCATAATTGTAAAATCAATGGATTGCATATTATTATAATATTACCTATAGTTCACCAATAGAAATTATGGAATACAATTACTTAGTCTAATACTCCGATATAATATAAAACAGTGAATGTTGAAAACACATTAAGGGTAAACAAATTTAAAAGTTTTAAAGGTTCTCTGAGCATCAAACAATAGAATTAAATAAAATAGTTTATTACATTTTTTCAATATTATTCTTCGATGTTCCGAATACAGTTAAAACGAATTGCAAATTGTCTATTCTCAAGTCGTTGATGATGATATAACTGTTAATGATTTGTAATAGAGTTATATACGCTTAAATAGACAAAAATATTGATAGATAGTTACTTAAAAGTAGTATACATGTATATTGTATTAATTATACCATATTTAAATATCAATTACGATTCTTAAAATATTAACGTATTATTTGTTATCAATTATTTATCGTTACAATTTTCTGACGGAATTTTAGAAGAATGAAGAATTTGAGTACAACATTTTGAAAAAAATGTTCAAAAGTGATAAATTGCATATATATTACCGTATTAACTAAATACTAACTGCACAAGGGCCAAGACCAATACATACGTCATCTGCTTGAAGATTAATAATAAGTTATAAAGAACTTAATTATATAACATTGGAACGATTCACATTTACTTGGTTTACTGACCTATTTATTTAGGCTTGGATTCCGTTCCTCTATTGACTATTTTATTAAAATAGATTTCGAAAAAAAATGTTGACTAAAATGAATAGAAGTACTTTCTATTATTATTATTAGAAAAAAAAATAACAATAATTTATGTTTTAATGTATTATATTTTCGGGAACGGTCCCATTCCAATAACCCTCCGGGAATTTTCAAGAATGCCAACCTTAGTATAGATACGAATCTAAAGTACTTATCTTATTCCAGCTTTTGTTATCAAATAATAATTATCGTTTATTATTAATGTTCGTATTCAACTTACTAACGGATTATTCATTAATTTTTCAAGATGAATATTGTAAATGAACTACCAATTCGATTGCCGATAATAAAATAGTTACTCTGTGTAATATCTAATATAATAGAATAATAATAAGGCATGTAAGATCGCTGCCATAACCTACGAACATACATAACGTATGAACCAGAGGTGTTCAGGGAGGGGGGGCCAATAGATCCCCATACATTTTTTTCTCAATATTTTTTGTAATATAAATTATAAGTTAGGTACGTGTTTAATGATCGAATGGCGTAATATGTCGAAAATAATTTGACCGCCGCTGATATAAATACATAAGTTACCCTATGCAATCAATTTATGTGTTCTTGTAGTAATAGATTTTTCTTCCATTGTTATTTCTATCCGTCCAAAGAATATTTCGTTGTACGTATGAGTCATTACGTGTGATCAATTAAAATAATGTCGCTGTATAACCTACGGTAGAGCTGCAAATTGCAATCAGATGTATGATATTAACAAACAGGGTCTTTAAAATGTCGAGTGTCAACAAAACGTGTGAGGATTAAATCTGTTCTCGAACGATCTCCATAACTTTTATCACACAACATTTGGATGATTCTGTGTATATGTTTTAAACGCATGCCTAAAATATGATCGAAAACAAAAAAAAAATACGGTAGGAAATAATGTATCAGTTAAAATGTAATATCGACAGATTTAAAATACTATAACAGACCTATAAAAAAAAACTGTTTTATGGGAGTCATCTACAACTTGAAATTCTACACTGGAGCTCGGGAAAGCCAAAACTGTAACGACCAAGATTTGATAAAAAAAAAAACCATTGTGCTTTCGACAAAAAAAAACATTTTTTTAAGTCCTAAGTGCGACGACGTGTTAAGGGTGAGATATTACGCTATAATATTGGTGTACGTCATTGTCGTGATATTTTTATGGCGTCCAATCGAAATAATCATATTACAGTGATGTGTTGTAGGTACTCACGTGGTGTAAATTTTTCGAGCGACTCTGCCGACTGAGGATAGTTGTGGTACGCACGCACCTGATTGTCGGGTATAATATAATTAATTACGATAATATTATAATATATGTAAAAAAAAAATAACAACAATACGATATCGCAGGTAGCAACTGACCGCTAAACTGTCCGACTGCAGGTATTATAATAGACGGTCGTATTCAAAGCGTGCTCGACGGCGTTATGAAAAAAAATAACTTACCGGCCGGAGAAAGTGATCGGACGAACCCCTTCCCGGGCAAGACGACGAGTGCGAACGGTTAAGGTGACGACACTGTTAAACAAATACCAGATAAATAGTGCACTGTTTCTATGGGCATATGAAGACGCGTATTGCGTAGGTTTACAATATAATAACGATTATGACAATAAAATATCGTTAAATTAATATTATTATAACAGCTTTAAGCTACACTTCGTCATTAACGAATTTTAACGTGTTTCAAGAAACAAAAAAGTCGTATCGCACGAAAGCGACAAAATCGTATCGTACGAAAGCGCCAAAATACTAGGTAGGTTAGGTAGGTCTACCAGGTATTAAATTTAGAACTATATCGTTCAAAAACTCCAAACGTTTAATTTCAATCTACGTATTAGTAGAAGTCAACCAATTTATTAAAATTATATATTTATTTGTATGTATATATGATTGGCAATTTTTTAAAAAGTCGAAAAAACCAAACGATTTATGCAAATTATGTATACCTTTGGCGCCAATGTCGTAAGTTGGGTGCACAGGTATCAGGTATGAAATATTGGATCGGCGCTTATGTTCTTCAATTTTCGATGCGTAATTTTTGTATTTTTGGCACCTGTGTAATACAGCCGGTTGTACATCCCGCGATTCGAAGATGGCCGCGGGTGACTGCGGGACGAAAACGTCGTTTCGCCTGCTTCCGATAATTGAGTTCGATATTGTAATGTTGGAGCCAATTATAAATCGACATAAAGTGTGCTAAAAAGTCCGACTAAGATAGGCACAGACTTGTGCCCTACAAACCGACAAAATATATTATGCAATAAAAACAAACAATATTTCTAAGAATCGTTTGATTTGAGTACACTGAGCTGCTGCAGGTATACAACAAGAATATAGTGTGGGTTACTATATTATATTATTATATTTATTATTTCACAACGCTCACGTATTGCCAATTAGATAATATTGTAAAGTGGATAGGTCGCGATCGTTACAACTATAAGATTGACAATAATTATTTAGAGAATGTACAGCGATAATACTGGTGCGAAATAATAACCTATATAATATTATTATAGTTAAGCTCGTTGATATCGCTGTAGAGAGGGTATCGTAATGCTTCCGCACTTCCGCAGTCGGTACAACGATAATATTTTACAATCAGAGTGTTTGGTGATCAATATTGTAGTGGATTTTTCTTTATGGATTCCTGAAATATTTATGACTTCTTTGAATTTGAAAATATATAAAAGGTGTTATACTTTTATATCTCAGGCTATACCATAAACCATTATAAAAAAAAAAAAAATACTAACACCTAAATTTAAAAACAAGTGAAGTCGTCTTCTAGTCGCTCTACTAATAAGTAGATTTCGAGTGCACCTCGTCATTGAGTAGGTCACTGTAATGGATGTATTTTAATTTAATGATAAATCGTCGCATTCAAAATACGATTATGGGCGGAAACGGCTTGTCAGCGTCTATATTTTTAATTATATAATATATATATTATATTACTTCTGGTGATCAATATATTTTGTTTATTACTAATAAGGCAGATTGAACTAATTATTGCCAAAAATATCGCATACCTTATGTAACATGACATTTACATAATTTTATTAAAGTATCGTATAATATTGCATAACGTATACATTATAAGTTGTAAGTCAATACCAAAGTACATATACTTCAGAACGATGTAAATGGTATTGTGGTGAATGTAAGTATTTAGCTTAAAATTTGAATAAATATTTTGAAAATTTCAATGTGCATAAATTACAATAATATACGTAACTGTGGATAAGTTTCGAGTCCTTAAGATTAATATATTTTTGATAACAACAAAACACTTTGGACGATCAAAGAGAAATCGTTATTTTTCGTTTAATTGTACAATATTGTCAACATCTTACATTCAAATGTCTATAAAAAAAAAATGATCACGTATATTACAAGTATTTTTGAATTATTTTCTGTAACAAAAACTCAAGTGGACAAATATTTTCAATTTTCAAGCTTTTTGACTGAAATATAAAAAACTATCAACATAAATTGACTACACCTTTAACATTCATAAATTACAATATCAAGCGTGCAAGTAATGTGTAATGGATAATTTTTTTAAACAATAAAATATGTAGTCATTAAAATTAGACTTTTTCTTTTTAGATTAACTTTTTTGTTAATTATTAAACGTGGTGTTTATCTTTCTCCGCATTATCCGTCTAAATCTTCTTCCGGATTACTGAACAGCGAGTGCACTCTTGGCGTTTACTTAGGCGATTGCTCGAATTGGTTCTTCTGATCGTTAAAAAAAAGAGGCCCATTCGCGGACGTAATAACATACCCTCGTAAGTATTGTCTTAATAATAATAATAATAATAATATAACAAGTTAGTACCCCGTTTACATAACACACCGTAAGGTTAAATAATTTTTGTCGGCGCAGCGATAATAACAATATTTTTTTATGCTAAACTCGGCAATTATATAATAATTATAATGGTACTAATATAATATAATTGCCCACGGGGCATACAGGACGTTCCTATAAAATACTACGCTTTACGCTGGATGACGTCTAGACCCTAACCGGTTATTTTAATCGTACGTGATCAGATCCTCGTCGTCGTCGTAACACTCGTAACACGACCTGATGGTTATTGTAGGTTAAGTACGTCAAGGCTGCTGTTGTATAGGTATATATCACTATATTATAGTCGGCGCAGTCGATCTCCAGAGTCCTGGCCGGGCGGCTCGTTCCGAGAATATCTTTTTTTTTAAAATTTTTTTCGGAAGACGAGACCTGCGATCCGAAGAGTTTCTTTTTTCGTGTACATATTTCACCGCTTTGCGCGTGTAGGTAATATACATAATATACGTATCGTTATTATTATTTTGGTACTTACGTCATCATATCATTACTATTATCTGCATAATATACGACGGTCCTACCCATTCTTGTCACGATCGTTTTCTGTTTTGCACAATCGCGTTGAACAATAACGCACAATATTCTAATGTCGCTATCCCTTGACCCGGAACTCAGTCCTTCTGTGGACGGATATAGACCTAAGGCTGTTTGATGCGATCTAAAGAAGTCAGTCAAAACCGTTCTCTTACAAACATAATATCATTGTTATATACCTGCGCATATGGTACGTATCGCACCCGTACGGTACAATATAATGATTATATTGTCTTTGTTCAAACGTCATTTTTTTGGACTATATTTTACGATATTATTACACAACATCGCAAATATTTGATTGATTTATAACACATTTCGACTATTCTCTCTCCACTCATTCCGTCGCGAATAACGCGCTTTTCGATGTTCGTCCATTCGTTCATCTTATCATACTATTATACTTACTTTAAATAGGTAATTTTCGTTTTCCTTCACGGAACTTCAATATAATATTATTTTGTATCGTGGCTGCTGTTAAACGTTCCTAAAGGAATAATAATAATTAACAGCTCTTTTTTTCGTTATAAACTAAAAATTATCTGATTTTTTCCGATTATAGGTACCAGTGGAAAATGTATTTAATCATTGATTCACTCAACATGTCATAGAACTATCGACATTTTTGTTTTCGAGTTATCTATTTCCCTACACAATATATTGTTGTAAAGTAGGTAGTAAATTAATTTTTATTCATCATTGTTGCATATTTTTTCGTTTTACTGAACTGTTATTTAGTACGTACCTATGTGGTATTTTATTTTGGACGAATATTAAACTTTTTTTAATTCATTCAGCCATACCTCGCTCGTTCAGCCATACCTCGCTCGACGGCGGTGCAACTAGTTACATTAGTTGCTCCGTATTTGTGTTATCCCTATATTATGCTTGTATGTGTATATTGTATATATCAAAGAATTCACATCATCAAAGATGTTTCAACTCCATTGACTCGTTTATACACTTTTCTCGAACGCGAAATATTTTACTCGAATGAACTTTGTATTTGTTTTTTGGACGAGTAACCGAAACCATCCACATAATATGTTCCGTTCGCACGACACATTTAATTAAAAACTTAATTATTACTACTAATTTTGTTATCTTGTTTCGGTTAATTTTTTTTTCTATTAGCGATTTAATTCCAGCACAGACCTTCTAATCCTCTGTTAATTATTCTCCCTTCTATATATTATTATATTCCAAGAACTGAGAATATTGTATTATGCAAATTTCAACCACTACATTCAATTAGTTTAGTATTTATATTATCATATTTTAACTCTTCCCGTGTTCTATGCTCGTAATTCCTTTTAAAGTTTTCTTTAATACAACACTTTCGACGGACTATTTTTATTTTTAATCTTGTGTATTTAAATATGTAACTTATTGAATTACTCCACGAGCAAATGTTTGTGCATCTAAATAAGAAAGAAAAAACATTTGGTTTCTGGGTAAATTAAATATTATATTTGATCAAACATTATAATTAATACAAATAATTATCCTAAATCATCTATCATTGTCTTTGAACAATTATTAATCTCAAAGCCATAAAAACTATCAAAAGTTTAAGAAAAATATATTCGGACGAAGTGACTCACTTCAACTTACGATCGAAACCGACCATTGTTATGCAATCCGTAATATGCATGTATAAAAATGTTAAACAATTAATCGTGAGCCCTCGTTTTTTAAAAAATTGTCTGTGTTACACGATGTACTATTCCGACTTATACGGTTGAATAAACCTTTCAAAGCCTTATATCCATTCAAATACTTCCAGTGGAGACTGTACTCAAAACCCGATATGAACCACCAGTGTTCGCAAAAGAAAAATATCATTATATTATAAGACCAATATACCACTGTTCGTTGATTTCGAATCTAAAATAAATAATTGATAGTTAGGTCCCATATAAAATCTCGACATAAACGCCAAAGATGTACTTGAAGCATGCACAGTGAAACTAGTTTATTTGGTTTTTTTTATTATTAAATTTATTTATATTACTTATTTATAATT